ACACAAAGTTGTGGTTTCCCCATCACACTTTCAGATGGGTCACCTTGTAGAAAGCTTTTTCTTTCTTGTAGGCCCATACTGAAACCTGCAAGGTATAATCCTGACGTTTCCTTACAAGTCACTTAAGGCTTGAGCTTTGATAGGAATATGGTTTAAATCCTAAGATATAGTAGGCCCATTGGCCATGAACAACTATATTACACTGCATTAACCAACACCTCTAAAATCTCTGTGGTTGATAACTGCTCAGGTTTATTTCTTCCTCATGTTTCATGGTCTTTGGTGGTCAGCAATGGGTGGGGGTGGGAATGCCCATACATCATCTATGCTCAGGAATCCAGGCTGAAAAGAAGCCAGCATCTTGAACATTGTTGGTTGCCATGTGAGTGCAAGGAGTGTTCTGGAAAATCTCACACAGCATTAAGTGCTGAATACTACTCAAAATTTATTGGCCAGAACAGGTTGGTCACATGGCTCCACCCAATCACAGGGGCCATAAAATTCAATTCTAACATATGTCTGGAAGGCAAAGAACTGCAAATTTTCAGTGAGGTACCAATGCCTACAAGACTAAACTTCATCACCACATGGCAGGGGTTACCAACATTCTGGCCAGGAGATCAGGAAGACTCAGCACTCCATCTTCCCTCCTGACATAACCAGTTTTGTATTTTAGGTTTAATCCCTTGTGACTCCCCACCTGAATATCTGCTGTATTCAGGATTATATGGGTTGCCAGTAACAGAAAAGTACTGCAAGTTGGCTTCTAAAAATATGGGATTTTTGTGCACACTATTAAGAAATGTAAAGCTGTATTGCACTTTGGACATAGCCAGAGCCAGAAGTTCAAATGATACCTCTAGGATGCTGTCTGTCTCCATTTTTATTTTTGGGGGCTTTGGTTTTCTTTATGTTGGTCTCATTCTCAAGAAGGATTTTTTTTAATAGGTGGCAGAAAGAGACAACCGCAGCCTTGAGCTTACATCCTATCAGCTGAGCAATCTTCGTGGAGAGTATGCCCTGGTTTTTCAGTAGCATTTGCAGGAGTTACTGGGCCAACTTAAGATACACACACAGCACCCATCTGTGGCCATGGAAATATGGTGCTCTGAGTGGCCGTTGTGAGTCTCATATCCAACCCCAAGCCTAAAGGGAGGCAAGTTCTACCGGGACTTTACAGACCAAGAACAGACGAAGAACAGTTGCTAAGAAAAAAAAGAGATGCATCATAGGTAAAAACAATAGATATTCACTATAGTTATTTGCCACCTGTATCCCCATTATCTGGGTGAAGAAACTGACTTGCTACAATTAGATGTCATTTGCATCCCTATTTTATGGTTGAAGACATTGAGACTTTACGAGATTAAGTAGCAAGCCTTAGATCATTCAGTGGTAGGCTTGAAATCCAAACTTGTCTGATTACAAATGACGTTTGATTATTTGCTGTGCTCTGTTGCCTGCCCTGCATTCCTATTACTAATCTAATAGCTGAAATGTATGACCCAAATGTAGCATGAGCCTTTGAAAGTTTAAAGAAAAAAAATTATATCTACAGTATTTCTTAATATCATTTGGAAAATGTTGATGAAAAACATGGACTATAATATGATATGAACCCCCAAGCCATCTAAATCTTGCTACAAATAGAAAAAAAACAATGATTTTTTTAAGTTCATGATCTCCTTTAGAAAAATTAAATGGTGAAAATGAGTTAATTGATAAATACAAATTCCTTTTTAGAAAGGACACAGATTTAATATAAAATAATTGCCTCTTTATGACTGATTTATCTTAAGCCTGACTGCATTTAAATTATATCTTGCCCTTATTCAGACCTTATCTAGGGAAATAAATGAACCTTTCATTCTGGAAGGAGATAGAATGGAGAATGCCCCATGAGGAGACAAAGAAGAAATAGTCTGAGTTCTTAAAAGATGGATTGAGATCCTTTTCTCTCCTCCTGGTTGGTGAGGAAGACATACATATCCCACTGCAATAAATCGTGAGTCACTTATAAAGCAGTCACTTGTAATGTAGATCTATTAGGAATGCCTCTCCTCCATCCCCCAGAGCCCACCACCACTGTCTTGTCCATTCTGAGCCTCCTCTGGGAGGCTAATGAGCAGTTACCTCCCCCCCCCCCCGCGGCCCATGGGGACACCACTGTGGTTGCTGTCTGTGGAGACAGGGTGCAGCTTGCTCAGCTCCTAAGACTCCATTCTCATGCGGAGTGTTTTTCTTTGAAGTAAAATATGTGACATTCCAGACTTTGGGCTCTTCTCCCCAGGAAAATGGAAAGCAAACACTGAGAGAATGGCTCAAATCCTTCAAGGCCAAATAGCTCCAACTGAGGCAGAAAGGATGGGGAGGGATGGGGGGAGGCGCAGAATGTCTTAGTTATTCTACCTCTTTTCCTAAACAATCAAAGTTACTGAATAATTGTTGATATACCACTTTGTATGTGTTGACCTAGACAAGTTTACATTTTCAATTAAATGGGCTCAATTATCTCATATAATTGCATCGTATATAATAGGGGCTAGAGAGCTAGACATGCAGCATTATCAAATTTGGGGAGCACTTAGGTAAAGTCTCTTTCTTTCTCTTTGTGATAACCTGGGTGTTTACAAATACGCAGTTCGGGGATAGGTCTCAGAAGGGCAATAGATAGCTGACCCGAGGCTGGGCAAGTCCTTGTTGTAACCAGCCTGGCCTTCACTGGTGACCTTAATGAGAGTCTTTTCCACAGGATGGTGGGAGTGAGATTTTGGTTGAAGTGGATTCAAAAGACAATGAGGGTGGCTAAAATGAACACTGAGTGCAGAGACATCTCTTTCAAGGACTTTTCCTGTAACTGGGTGCAAAGGAATCTGACTATAGCTACAGGGTACATGAGATCAAGAGAGTGTTCTTTGTTTTATAGTGAATGGGACTGTGGTAGAGTAGTATGCTGATGGGAACAATCCGGTATCGAAAGAAAATTTGGAGATTGCTGAGCTGCATCCTTAAGTAGAGAGAAGGAATAAGAGTGCACAGGTGAAGAGATCAACCTTGGGCAGTTCACTCTTCCTAACCAGAGAGCACCCACAGTCTAGGTACAAGGAGATGGAAGGACGTGATGATAGTAACTCGTGAATGTTCTCTTCAGATTACTTCAATTTATTGGTGAAATAGAAAATAAGGTATTCAGCTGAGATGAGGATGGGAGGAGAGGCATTGGAATTTGAGGAAGGAGGACAGAATATGAAATAGTCATCTAGTTGAATGTCAGAATGAATGACCTAGATGAACAACCTGAAAAAGCCTATTTCTGGGTTGTTAAGTGATAAACCTAAACATGACCCCACAACTGAGGCTGTCAGTGCAGACTTTGAATTCTGATTGGATTGTTGTAAGGTGATGATATAATGTCTGATGCACAGTGGGGGAGGGCCACAGGTAGTAGATTACCTTATAGGCTTTCAAATATTACACAGTCTATAAAACAAAAATATTCTCAATTCAATAAAATAAAGACAGTTTCCCTAGAAAAAGATAGACCTGAAATAGAACTCTTTGGGAGATGGGTTAGAAAAAATATTTCAAGGGCTTAAGGAAAAATCATTGCAAGTTGAGAAGCCAAGAGATAATGCATTTTCCAAAGGAAGAAACATAATCTAAATCAGAACATTGTTTAAATGCTGGGAGACAAAACCCATCAAGAATATTTTTACAGTATAATTTTGGAAGTGCAGAAGCATTAATATTTAAAGCAACATTTATAAATAAACTTTTAAACAGAGTTTTTTGACCTGACTTGCACACTCCCATAGGATGTCATTCAGGTAGTACATACTCCCTGAATTTACACACCAAATGTTGTGTGTATATGAGTATATGCATATTTCTGGAAGTGAGCCTGTAACTGTCACTGAATTCTCAAAATAGATTCTGATTCCAAAAGAATTACTAATGACTTTCTAAAAAAAGAGAATGATCTACATCAGAAAACTTGAGGGGCGCCTGGGTGGCTCATTCAGTTAAGTGTCTGACTTCAGCTCAGGTCATGATCTCGCAGTTTGTGATTTCAAGCCCCATGTCAGGCTCTGTGCTGACAGCTCAGAGCCTGGAGCCTATTTCAGATTCTGTGTGTGTCTCTCTCTGCCCCTCCCCTTCTTGTGCTCTGTCTCTCTCTAACTTTCAAATAAAAACATCAAAAAAAATTTTTTTAAAGAAAAAGAAAACTTGCAATACTGGCAGAATATTTTACCTCAGAAAATTTCTGAAAAGATTTAGAAACAGCATGGAATGGTAGGAAATACAATGGACCAGGAATCAAGACTTTGGATTCTAAATTTGCACCTAATGAGCTGTCTGATAAATGGACAAATCTCCTCATTGCTTAGGATATCAGCTTCCTCCTCCATAAGAGAATGGAGCTAGAATGTGCTACCACTAAGATATTTTCCAGTTATAACATGGGGTGATTACATGGACATGATCACATGCATGATTTTTGTGAACAAAAATGAAGACTGTCTTTATCTAAAATAAAGACTTTGGAAGGGCTTTGTGGCCCCTTCTGGATCATCCTTTTCTTCTCCCTGTAAGTCAAAATGACAAACTATCTACTAACTAAAGAAAAATAACCAGGTAATATCTAGAGGATACCTGGGCTGAGTTGAAAGGGGAACAGGCTGTGAATAAGAGTGCTTCCAATCAAGAAACATTTGAGTTCCTCCTAATTTTAAGGTTTCTTCACAGAGTATATATTATAGCAAATTTCACTGACAGAGCAGTGAATTTGATGATGGTGCATAGGTGGCTGTAAGTCATCTACTGGGTCATCTGTTCCTACCATCTTAAAGCACACCTCAGTTGCTAGGAAGCCAGGTGGCTTACAATCCTCCTCGCCTCCTCATAGTCACACTGTTATGTAAGGCCCTCCCACAATGCATCAGGGTTTCATTGTGTGACCAGGGGACTACAGCAGAAGTGAGGCTGGGTGACTTCCAAGGCTAGTTCATAAAGGCATTGCAGTGTTTGCTTTGGTCCTTTGGATCACTCACACTGAAAGAAGCCACCGGCCCAAGTCAGGCAGCTCTGTGGAGACACCCATGTGGGGAGGAAGCCAGATCTCCCACTAACGGCCAGCACCAATTTACTAGTAGTGTGAATGAGCCACTCTAGAAGCAGATCCTCCAGTCCCAGTCAAGCCTTCAGATGGCTGCAGCCCCAGCTGACATCGTCACCATGTCATGTCTCTCACGAGAGACTCCAAGCCAAACCCTTCCAGCTAAGCTGCTACCAGATTCTTGACCTGAAGAGACTATGTGTGTATTAAATGTTTATTGTATGTTAAAGCCAGTAATTCTAGGGGTAATTTGTTACATGTCAATAGATAACTAATATAGTTGCTTTACTTTTCTTAGAGTCTACAACAAATAACACATATGATGAACAGAGAAGTGGAAACCCAACAGTTTTTAGTAGAGAAATTGATTGGTATTGTAAGTAACGATCATTATAGCTCCAGCGATAGTCCTGTGTGTTCCTATGTTTCTGGATGAGCAATGCTACTCTGGGCTATCCAGAAACTTCCCAAAATGTGTGGTGAGAATAGTATTTCTGCCATACTAAACTAATGTATTTAGTTGCTGCTAATCCCTAATTCCTAGTTGCCCCAATACCTCCTCCCACCCCAATTAAAACAAGCAAATTAATCACTTCAATCACTTCATGGAAAAAGTAGAATCAGTAAAGAATAGACAAGTTATTGCTCTATTTGGAATTTTCAAAAACAATTTTTTTAAGTTTATAGTCCCATGATAACCTGAAAGCATGTGCTAAAATGGCAAGTTGTTGCAGACAACAGAAATTGAATCTAATGAAGCAAAAAATATATTTATAGGAGGGATGTCTGGGAGCTCATAACAGATTTGGAAATCAGGCAAGAATCAGTTTTCCAGGAGCTTTGCATTTTTCCATGACCTGGGAGCCAAGAGTCTGTAAGAGCAAATTGGGTATCTGATCTCTCGGCTCTCCTCAAACTCACACCATGGCAGAACCTTGTGTCTGGTCGCATGGAGCATTTGGTCAAGAAAGAAGAAGGAGACACTGATGCTGAGCAGCAGGGTGAAAAAACAAAAAATCAATAGATGCCCCTTTTATTTTTTTCAGGAGCTAGACTTTGTCATGAGAAGGAGCAAAGAATGTTCTCCTAATTCCCGAAGTTGGGTCTTTACATCTCAAGGGCCACGCCCGGTGGCACCTGATCATCAAGTTTGCTCATCTAAATCATGGACTATGAAAGGAGGATCATACTTGTCAGGTAAAGAGAAAGGGAAGGGCTCATATGTTGGGGGAGTGGGGGAGGGGCAGCCTCTGAGAAAGGAAGATAGCCAGGAGGTCAGATCGGTGTCCTCCCTTCTCTATTCCCATGCCTGGAGGACTGGAACTTCAGCAGAGGACACTAGGATAGCCTTAAGGTCCTTCTAGAGTAGGAAGCTATTTTCTTACTTTTCTTCCAGAATAGACCCCACCAGCTAGATTCTCAGTAGGAACCACCAACAGGCCTCAGGGAACCAGGAGAGGAAGGAGATGAAGGAACCATCAGGCTCTGAAAGGCACCTGGTCACGGGTAGATGGGCCACCCTCAGTCAGCAGCGACAGATTCAGCAAGTCCAAGAGAATACCTCAATGCCAGGAGGATGCATGGGCTTCCCCTGTAAATCTCCAAAATGACTCTTAGTGTGAGGGAAAGTAAGAAAAGCCCTTGAGAGGAGAGAGGGCATCCCAAGGAAGCCATGATGATTATCAGAAGAGAATGATGTAGATTGAATTGAGAAGAATGAATATTTTCCACGACCAGCAGAAATGGAGCCTCATAAACAAATATGTCTCTCCATTGAAGGCACCCCCATGTGACAGTCCTTGGTCTTATCTCTGCAATGCACTGCGCTTCTGGTCTTTTGGCCCAATTTCCCCCAGCTCTTGATGCTCCAGATCTTTCCCATGGGAGCTGGAAGAAGAAAAGGATTGTAAAAGGTTCTTGTTTGAAAGTTACTATGGTTGTCCAGGTATGATATGGCCCTGCCCTCATTCATGACCTCATCCAAGGTCATAGCCAAAGGGAACCAAACAACTGAGTCTTCACAACAACCATTGGAAGGTCCTTTGTGCCAGCCTCCTAGCTCTGCCATTCACATACTGGGCAACCCTGGGCAAGCCCCCTCATAGTCTTGGCCTAGGCTTCCTTGTTTTAAAAATAGGATGGAGGTAATAATGGTGGGGGGGTGGATGGAGGATTTTTTTTTTTTTCTTTTCATGTGCTTGTTTTGTTTGCCTTGTTTTTTTATCTGGGCCTGAGGAAATGGGGTAGAGGATGGGACCAGATTAGACTTCCTCAAATGATCATCCAGCCACAAGATTCTAAGGCTTTATGTTACAGCATTTTCTCCTGGGAATGCTATAAGACCCAGAGATCACTGTATAATCTATACTTCAACTGATTTGTAAACAGCATGAAAAACGTTCAGCAAATAGACCAAAGGCAAGAAAGCAACCCCTTAAATTCTAACAGCTGACGTTCTTCACCAGTAGACCAATGAGGACATGCTTTGGTTCTAAGCATAGTTAACAAGAACTGTTACCTGTAGACATGAGTATGTATTTCTTCCTAACAGCTGGAGCCCCAGTAGCTGGTCTAATGTTACTTTGCAGACTAAAAAGGCCAACAAATCGAACCCTAATTGAGTACCCCAGCAGGTGGTCCACCCTGTCAGCTGCACCCTACAATCCAGCAGCTGTAACAATGGCCAACCAAGGTCCACACTCAGGTCACAGCCCAATGCAAACAAGCTCACAGACTGTCTAAATATTCTAAAGAAATAAAGACAAATGAAAGTAAGCTGATGTTCAAACTAAAAAAAAAAAAAATAGCGGTAAGTAGGTGAAGGAGAAAGATAAAATATTTTGTCCCTTCTGACAAAACACAACCATGTAGAAAAATATTTTTGCTATATCGATGGCTCGAGTTAGTATGGTGTCTGTTTTGACTTTTTTTTTTGCCTGTTCTCCCAAAGGTAGTTTTATTTTGCTGAAAAGGCAAAGAAACGGATTAGAAAAATTAGCATTAATTAAACTTTATTTCCTTTGGCCATGGGCCACACAGTTCAAATAAAGTGCAGCCTCTAGCTAAGTTCCTTCAGAAGCAAAATTTAGAATGCATGCTTAAGTTCACCTATGTTTTTGTTTTTCTGACAAGAAAACAGAGAAGAGCGGGGATAAGTATAGAAAGAAGGAAGATGAACGGGAAGAATGTCTTCTGTTTAGTTTCCTTTATTTTTTGCTTTTAAAAGAATTAAGTTGGAGAGGAGGGCAGAGCAGATTGCAAAATTATGTTTCAACCATATAAAAACATATGCAAGTATGTAAATAAACAAATACAATACCCATCAGTGAACAAAAGCTCCATTTTTCCAATGCAGGTCAAAACCCTTGGCATTATCTTTGACCCCTGGCTCACACATCCCCCTAGACTGCTTCCAAAATGGATCCAGATTCAGTCTGCCTGAGTGGTTCAGTTAAGCGTTCAACTCTTGATTTCCAGTTCAGGTCACAATCTTGTGGTTCATGAGTTCGAGCCCCACGCATCGGGCTCTGCACTGATAGTACAGAGCCTGCTTGAGATTCTCTCCCACCCTCTCTCTCTGCCCCTTCCCTCTTGTGCTCTCTGTCTGTCTCAAAATAAATAAAATTTAAAAAAAAATGGATCCAGATCCAATTGCCTCTCCCCACTTCACCATTACCCTACCAGTCCAAGCCACTATCATCTCCTCTGCAGAATATCTAAGTAGCCTCCTCAACTGGTCTCGCTGTTGCTTTCCAAGAATTTGTTCCCTGTTAAGTCTGATCTGGTTCCTTTTTATCTCTGTGACTTCACCTACTGTTGAAGTCCAGCCATGAGCTAGTCCTGAAACATGCCAAGCATTCTCTCACCTCGGGGCCCTGATGCTTCACACTCCCTGTGTCCAGAACATTCTTTCTCTGGATTTTCTTTCAAGGCTCTATTGAAGGCCTCAGGTCATCAGAGAAGTCTCTCCAGCCCACTCTTAATAAAATGGCAAATCTCTGCCTGGTACTCCATGGCTCTCTTGCCCAGTTTTCTTTATTTTTGTCTACAGCACATACTACCACCCAACATGTCTTTATTTGCTTATTTATTATCAAACGTCTCTCCCATTGGAACTTACACTCCTTGAGATACTGTTTTGCTTGTTGCTGTATCCTCAATGCCCACAATGGTTCCTGGCATATAGTTGATGTTCAATAAATATCAGTTGAATAAACAGATGAATGAATCAATAAATAACTAAATCAAATGAAGATACAGGAAAGAAAGTACAGGAAGCTATGGGAGAGTTCAGAGAAAAAGAGAATACACCACCTCCGAATACATCTGTAAGGTAATAGTACAGGTGACCAATGGATACTTTTCTCAGTTTTCCTAGATGTATTATTTCTGTAATAAAAAGTTAATATTTATCTTAAAACAACTTTCTCAAATTTAAAATGCAGCTAGGATTTCAGAATAGAAAACAGAAATATAAGTCGAGTTTTTAAAAAAGTAATGTCTCGCAGCTTTAGGAGAAGAGACACATCAGAGAAGGAAAGGCTCTTGAGAGGAAGGCCCAAATAGTCTCAGCGATGCCGTCACCCACAGAGCTGTCCCAGCCAGACCCGCGGGCTCCCTGCCACCAGATGTGTCTTGCCTTGGGCTCCCAGGCAGCAGCACTGACCGTCCCCTAGAGCTGCCTTCCCCGCTTTCCATTCCTACCACCACTATCGTCACAAACATCCAAGGGTCACTGTCATTCCTCACCCCCTTCCCACCTCCCCAAGTCCATCAGTTCCTCTCCCTTTCTCCTCCTGCATCTTTCTGACCTATCTCTCTGGTCCCATCCATACCGTCATCGCCTTAGGGCAGTGCTGGATTCAACTCCCTACACCTCATCCACCTCCTCAGGCAGGCTCCCCACGGCTCTTGGGGAGGAGGGGAGTGTTTTTCTAAAATGCAAACCTAATCATCCCACTCTCCATACATCTAAAACCCCCCAGCTTAGCACACAGGGCCCCTACTGGATCTGACCCTGCCTGTCTCTCTAGCCTTCCTCCTTCACAGGCCTATTGCCCTTCATTCCAGCCCGACCCGACTCCAGCACTGGCACCTTACCAGCCTCCTGGGCCACCTCTTGCCTCCATGCCTTGCGCATACCCATCTGTGTTCTTGGAATGTCAATCCTTGGCCTACTTAATGGGCATAATGGGCACCTACTCTCAAAAACTCACCTCTCTTGACACCTTCTCTGGAAAGTTCTCACTGGCTCCAATTGCTCTAGATGCTATTCCTCTGGGTTCTCGGAGAAACCTAAGTTTTGTTTTAGCCAATGGTTTACTCATTGGGATCTTACATTAGACTGTTAACCTCCCAAGGAAGAGCCCATGTCTTAGACTGAATATTCACTTTAACATTTGACTCAGTGTTTCACATGTAGTACACATTTAATAAATAACTGCAAGAGGAGAGGGACAGGGGATAGAAGGAAGTCAGGTAGGTAATTAGATTGAGTCTATACATATATTGAGAGAAAAGTACATAAGATCTTAAGATAATGCACACTAAGCCTCTGTCTGTGGATGTTTGCAAACCTTGGAGCTGAAATATTTTGAAGCGAATAGCATCTTACAGTCAACAGCAGATAGGCCATGTGTATTTCAATCCCAGTGGAACCACTTAAAAGCACATTACTTAACCAATTTAAACCTCAGTTTCCTTATCTAGTAAATGAGAGGAAGAATATTGTTTCTCTGATAAAGCTGGTATGAGGTTAAATAGGACAATTCAGGAAAAGGGCTCAGCACAGTGCCTGGAAGCAGTAAATGTTCAATAAATGTCATTAGTGATAACGATGATGATAATCGTTAGGAAACAAGACTCCAAACGTTTTTAACAGAACAGTGAGAGGAGGCCGAATAATAAAACTATCCAATGTATCAAACTGGAATCTCAATCAATGGTATTTCAAAAGCCAGCCCCAAATCTAAAGCATCATGTGAGGGCTTGGGGGTGCCAACCAGCTGTTCATTACAGTATACAAGCCAGAAGCACAAGAAAAGAGAGCAGACTGTTCAAATAGCTCATGATTTAACAGCTTCTCAAAACCATGGTTTCAGAATGGTCCCACAGGATGCCAATGTATGTTACATGGAATAAATTGTTCTCGAATCAAATAAGATCATGAAATTTTGTAAACCAAGCCCACCAGTGGTGTTTTCCGCAAAATTTCTCCGAGCATCTCTGAGAAGGGGGTAGCAGGATTTGTCCAACGTTTTTAACCCTGACATCCTATTTTTCAGATCATCTCTTGAGGCTTTTCAAAAATGTCCCAATTTAAGGAAAACCCAAGGATCTAGCATTTACCATTCCAGTTCAACTGGGAAAAAAGAAGAGAAGGAAGGCAGAGAAAAGAAAAGAACATACAATGTCCAGATAATAGTATGGGTAAATATTTTGTACTTTTCTCAATTTTCCTAAATGTATGAAAGTGTGTTAATTTCATAAAGCACAGATAACATTTGTCTTAGAAAAATTTCGTCAAATTTAAGACTTAGCTAAGATGTGAGAGCAGAAAATGAATCAGGAAGTTGTTTTTTTAAGTCAATATTTCACAATCGAAAAAATTCTTTTTACATTTATTTATTTATTTTTAAATGTTTTATTTATTTCTGAGAGAGCGAGGCAGTGTGAGCAGGAGGGGAGGGTCAGAGAGAGAGGGAGACACAGAGTCCGAAGCAGGCTCCAGGCTCTGAGCTAGCTGTCAGCACAGAGCCCGACACGGGGCTTGAACCCACGAACCGTGAGATCATGACCTGAGCCGAAGTCGGACTCTCAACCGACTGAGCCACCCAGGCGCCCCTACGTTTATTTATTTTTGAGAGACAGTGAGACAGAGCACAGGCAGGGGAGGAGCAGAGAGAATAGACAGAATCCAAAGCAGGCTCCAACCGGTCAGCATAGAGCCTGACATGGGGCTTGAACCCACGAACCGTGAGATCATGACCTGAGCCGAAGTCGAACGCTCAACCCACTGAGCCATCCAGGTATCCCCATGTTTCACAGTTTTAGGAGGAGAAATCCCCTATGCCTTGTGAAGTAACAGAAAGACAGAAGGGCCTAGTTAATGAATGCGCAGTCACGACAGTCCGAAAACGGGGGCCTCCCCAGAGAGACGTGATCCTACCTGGGCCCGACAGCTCAGGAAGCCCCTCCTGTTGGCTTGGGGCATCTGCTTGGACCTGGGGAGCGGAGGGCCAGGTCTCAGCAGACACCTCACTGGGCAGATCTTCAAGGGAGAGCTGGGTTGTTACTGAGACCCCGGCACACATTGACCCTTTCCTCCCTTCAACCCACACAGCCTCCAGGAGGGCAGCTTCTGACGGCCTAGGGCCCGGATTCTCCAGGGCACTGGGTTCAAGTCGGGCTACCAAAGGCCACACCAGCCTCTCACTTCCATCACTGCTGGGGGGCCCGAGCTCTTTCTTTTGTGTTCCCTTGCTTTCAAGTATATCTGGTGACTCTGTAAGTTTCTCCCTTTCATTCCAAATTGGTTTTCTGTCATTTTTATGAGAAGGAATTTATTGGTGCCTTAAAAAAATATAAAAATGTCTTTGTGCCTAAATCTTTCTTTAACAGGCTTCTTTACAATGTTTGTTCTCTATCCTGGTTTTTTCCCCCCCTTTTTCTGAATTCAGTGCTTCTGGGCCCAACTAAATGGAAGCAGATCTGGTAAAGCCTGGAGTGCAGGTGGGGTGGGGACAGCCAGGCCCTGGGGCTGCTGAGCCAAAAGCTACTACCCCTCGCTGAGGTCTATTACTCACTCAGCCACTCGGCAAGACTCTTGCCCCAGGCGGCCCATCCCGGGCCACTCTGAATAATACACACACCAGGCGGGGAGCCACCACTTACACAAATAGCCCTGAGCACCTTCAGACTGCCTCTCAGCTGCTAGGAACACAGATACCCTAGAGAGGGGGGAAGGGAAGTGCAAGCTAAATTCTGAGCCTAAATCTGCAGGCCTCACAGGTGCTTTCTCTGTAGGGAACATGCCAGCGGCAATCTGGACCCAGGGCCGCAGGCGTGCCTCTAGGTAAGGGATCTGCATGTTCCCAGTGCTAAGCAAGAGGCCCCTTCTGGATCAGGGCTAGTGGTGAGGCCAACGCCCATGAGGGAGCCAGGGGAGGGGGTGGTTTGAGGGACGCATGCCAGTGAGCAATGCCATGTGGGCTTCTCACCTCCTCCAGATAGACCAGGCATTGACCAGGGCCAGAGGGTACAGCCTGCTCTCTGGCCCCACCCGGGCATCACACACTCATATATACTCCTGGAAAGAAAGGCATAAGGTAGGCTTAAAATTATCTTGACAAATGTAGGAGAAATGCCTCCCATAGGACTGAGCGGAGAAGACCAGTTTGCAGAATTGTACGTAGCACAGATTTGACTGTATAAAAAGGATAGCTCTCCCACATGCATGCAAAAGGCAGGAATGGATAAAGCACAATGGTTTCCTCTGTTTAGTGGGATTAGCAACAGTATTTATTTTTCCCGTCTCACATATCTGCGGCTTTTAATTTTTCTACAATGAGCATTCTCACTTTAACAACAGAAAATGTCCCTAAGCCATTCGTTCAAAAATCTGGTGGACACCTCTTAACAGAGTGACAATTATGGATAGGACAGGTATGTGTGTGTGCGTGTGTGTATGTGTATGTGTGGTTATATACATATACACAACATGGACATATATAAATAAATGTGAACAAATGTGTATGCCCATGTATGTCTGGGACTCTGTGTGTATATATATGAGATATCGTGTTTTAACATACTTAGAAAATGTAACTCACATACCATTGATAACATCAAAGACCCACAAATACATACAGTTGACCTATTTAGGGAAACCCACAGAAATATGACACACCTGGAGATCAACAAAAATAAGACAAAGAGACACCCACTAGCCATAATAGGATTTGTTTTCATTTTCTGGGGTTAAGTGACTTCAGTGAAATAATCCATTTATTCTTCGTGAAGATGGCCACCTTGACAGGATAAAATGGGGAAGGCACTGCCTGGAGCGGAAGCTGTGTGCCGCTATGGTGACAGGGACCTTAATTGATATTTGTGCCCAGAGGCAGCTTCTCTTTTTCTCTTCCCGAGTGAGAGACTGCACTTCACAGGAACGGAACAGGGCAGGGTAGGAAGTTTTCTCTTGGGGTAGGGCAAGCCCAGGCCAGACGCAAAAATCCGTATGTGCTCTGCTGGCGTGGCTGCCTTCCTCTCCCCATTCTGCCAGGCACTGGTCAGTGTTCCCTCTAACAGCGCCCCTCTTGCCGTGTGGCCCCCAGGGTCCTCCGTGGGGAAGAGCCTGGAATGCCTTGGCTGGCAGGCGCAAATGCGCATCCTCTGCACCTGAGGGTTCTCAGGACTGGCACTCAGGGCATGTCCTGCTCTCGCACTGATAGCTTCATGTAGAGCAAGGCAGAGCCTACAAGAGATGAAAGGTTTCATTGAGCATGACCTAATCCTCAGAAACATATAGGTTGGGTCCCGGAGGGAAAGGAAAAATCTAGATGTCTGAATTTTCCCTTGAGTTTCTGCATCCATTTGGAGTTCTTAAAATTTGATCCTACCTTTGATATTACCTGTCGGGGGAATGGCACTCATCCTTAAATCACATGTTAAACAATGATTGCAAGTGTTTTCTTTAGAGATCTTTTGCTATTTTTCTTGTTAGTTCTTGTAGGATAATTTTAGTTGTGCATGTATGTGCGTGTACGGTTAAAAGAGTTGTTCATTCCAACAACTCATTGGCAGAATGGAGGCTTCCAGCAGGTGCTGGATAATTTCTGGAAGACTTTTAGCCCATCTGTCTGTTCAGTTGTTTGTTCATTCATTCAAAACATGTGAGTCAAAGATTGGTTGTAACTGGATACATAGTGAGCTTGGAAATCCAAGTTATAGTCAAAAGATAGGTTTACTTTCTGCTATATAAAAGACTACAGCCCTTCATTACTAGCACAATAATTCATTATAAATATTTCAATTTAAAAAACTAAGTACTAGGGGCACCCAAGTGGCTCAGTCGGTTGAGCATCAAACTCTTGATTTCACCTCAGGTCATGATCCCAGGGTCATGGGACTGAGCCCCTTGTCGGATGCTGCACTGAGTGGGGAGCCTGCTTAAGAGTCTCTCTTCCTTTGCCCCTCTCCCCTGCTGTACTCTCTTTCTAAGATAAACAAACAAACAAACAAATAAAGTGCTGGACCCTCTGGCCAAGATTTAAATCAAAGCAGGCCCAATGAAAAGTCTTAGCCTTTGTCAGGACTCTGGGTAATAGGAGAGAGTAACCCAGTTTCATCTAGCTTACAGCAAAGGGAGCCCATGAGTTCCCCCAATTGTGGAGTTCAGGATTATGAGATTTAAAAGTAAGGTTCTGCTGGATCCATGGGCTTGGATGATATATAGGGTTAGTTGTCTCTTTCTCTCTCTCCTTTCCCTCTCTCTCTCTCTCTCTCTCTCTCCCCCCTCCACTACCCCTTCCCCTCCAACACCCTGTGGCTCTTTCTCTACAGATGGAAAGATAGTCCTGACAGGTCAAAGACCATATCCTTACAGCTATTACTCCAAATCGACAAGGCATATACACACTCTCTCAGCATCTATGTAGAAAATTTCAAGAAAGATGGCCATTTCAAAGCTAATTACTCTGGCTTGGGAAGACAGGACTTTGACTAGCCCCTCAGGACCACATGCCCCCTTCTGCATTTGGGGGCACATGGAATGCCAGTACCATAGGATGCTACGTGGTGGGACATGACTCTGGGATTTGTAGATCTATCAAAATCCCATGGATGAGGGGAAGCATGGTTCCCTAAAGGAAAAGTGAGGTGTGCTTACCTGAAGGAGGAGAAAGGAATACCAGACAAATGATTTCTTAAAGCATCATTGGAAAACATGCCTGAATATGCATTGATCTGTTTGAAATCCTTTTAAGAAACTGAAAGTGAGAACAGAGAAAAAACCAAGACGATAGAACAGCATTGAATAGAATATTATTAAGAACATATAGGGACACTTGAGTGGCTCAGGTGGTTAAGTGTCTGACTCTTGGTCTCTACTCAGGTCATGATCTCATGGTTTGTTGGTTTGAGCCCCGCATCAGGCCCTGTGCTGACAGTGCAGAGCCTGCTTGGGATTCTCTTTCCCTCTCCCTGCCCCTCCCTCAGACACTGTCTCTGTCTCTCTCAAAATAAATAAACTTTTAAAAAAATGAACATATATTGGCTCACGAGTTTGCTTCAGAAAATACCTTCACAGTGAAAATCTAGGAATGATGGTATCTTGATTAAAATGTTTGTTTTTATAAAACAGAATCCAAACAACCTCAGAGTCCAAACAACTTTTCCTGGAACTGAGGTATCCCCCCCGCCCAAAGAAGTCCAAATTTAATTAAGATGGGATAGACAGCATCTGGACATTCCTGATCTTATATCTTGACATAATTTAGCCTCAGAGGCAGCCATATTTTCTTAGAAGATGATCCTTCCTTTCCTTCCCATGGGCTTTGTCCTGGAAAGGGGAGAGGAGAGAGGTTGCTGGAATTTGTCCCACACCATCCACCATCACACATCTTCTCCCCCTTAGGGACTCTGAGAGAGGTAAGGAAGAGGTGAGAGAGAAACCCATTGCTTCATGAAGGTATTAGAAAGGCCCTTAAAGTCCCAGGACTCCGACAGGAGTGCCTGTCACCAACTGACTCTGGCTGTCCTGCTTTACACAGTTTTATGACTTCTAGGCTATTTCCATCAGTTATCCTATTTTATGGCTGCAAATAAGATACATTGGGTTCTCTCTCTCTCTCTCTCTCTCTGTCTCAGTGTCTCTCTCTCCCTCTGTCCACCCTCCCACCATTAGGGTCACAGATTAGAGGACTCTCTGCTTATCTATAAACCAAAATAGATCATTCCACAGGCTGGTGCTCTCTCAGACCTCTTGTAACTTCACCCAGTAACAGTTTCTGCAGGCAGAACAGGAGACCCCAGAGCCTGTCTCAGAGGCCAAGAGTCTGAGCTGGTGCCAATATCAAAATGGGTTCAGCAAACCCGTCTCCCTCAGAGGTCTGATCATGCCTCTGTGACAAGGGGCCAGTCTCCCTTGTGGTCCTGGGTACACAGACTTCCCTTAGGTTGAAAGTCCATTACCTGTGCGACTTGGACAAGTCAGTTCACCTCTCTGGGGTCACCTATAAAATGAGCAGACTAGACTAGGTGATTTCTGTGGCCCTCCCAGTTCTGATGCCCCGATGCCATTTCCCACCACCATGATTTAGGGGAGTTCTATGCAACCATAAATAACTCTTTCTGGTGTCTCTCAGATAAAGGCCAGATATAACCTTACCCTGCCAGAGGGTATGTCTGTAAGAGTAAGAACAAAAAAGCAAGGACAGGTAGGGGTTCAGGCCTCAGCTACAGTCAGGTTAAAAGTGGTACAGTTAAGTCAGTAGCATCCTTTATAACGTGGCCATTTCTTTCTCCTTCTCCCCTCTGGGTTTAAGCTTGTGTGCTGACTGTTGAAAAATCAGTCATTAACGGCCAGGAAATGACTTCCCCATCCATCAGAACACTGCTCAGCCATGTTTCAGCTTTTCCCTCCTTTCCCTATGTAATTATTCTCATCCACCACTGATTACAGTTTATAATAGCCGTAATTCTCTCCAAATCAATCATTACTTTACTCTACCATGGGGTTACTGGTAGAAGCATGAGGGAATGCAGTACCCCCGGCTGGGTTTTATTTTTTGGAAATTGCCTGCTTTCGTCTGGATCTCATTTAATCATCTGGATGTTCAAAGAAAAGCTAAGATTTTAATTCAAAGGCATTTTTTTTTTCTACTTGACCTTAACTCTTCTTCTTATTTTTTTTAAAAAAGAAAATGATGGATGCTTAAATAAGGCTGATATTGTACAAAGTCTGTCAGTGTTGTTGTTTGGAGTGATTGGTAGGGGACACGGTGGGAATTCTTGTCATGAATTCACATGCTTCTTTGACACTTCACCTACCTGAGTGCTGTTCAGGCTATGCATCCTGTAGGATTTCCTGGAAGGGTCAAGAATTGTCTTTTCCCTCCATGGCCCAATTAAAGTCAACTGGGGTAAAGAAAGTTTTTTCTTATGCACTCTGGGAAGTATAGCAATGAGTCATTTACACGTTAGTGAGAATTTAAGGCAATTCAGTCTTAACCAGTATTTACCATGTAAATACACAGACTTACTATGTTCAGTATATTGTGCCAGTGCTTTGATGAGTTAAAAAAAATGAATACGATCTAGTTCTTTGTATCCTGGAGCTCACAGGGTGGCTGAAAGTGGTAGGAACATAGACATGCAAATAATCATTTCAGCACTCACTGTGCATACGTTGGATTATTAGGGTACAAAGTGCAGCAGGAGAATGAGAAAAAGAGACTATTTATACACTAAGGATCTTAGAATTCCTAGAGGAGATGTCTTGAGCTGAACCTTGGTGGAGGGCAAGGACTTGAACAAGTAGTCATTCCAGGAGGGGACAGCAGACATTAATCACAAGGGCCTGGTATGGGAAGAGAGGATGGAGGAGACCAAGGCCTGACTGGAAAGGTCTAGAAGAGTGGAATGACCTGGGGCCATGAGATGGTGTGAAGGCCAGCAGCCTGAAGTCCAATGGCTGGCTGGAGTATCAGGTAGCCCCAGAGGAAGCTTTGGGGTACCATTCAAGTTCTTCTCAGAGAGGTCTAGCAATACTTGCTGAGGCAGCATTTCAAACACAAAACGATAGGACAAAGCATCACATAATTTGAGATATATTATTGGAAATGTGACCTCATGGCTAGTGGTTTGGTACCTGCTAGTTATAATAATAAAAGGAGCAATTTTACAATATTGGACTCTCACCCAAAAAGGTGGTCTTTTTAAGCCCAAAGAAAACCAGGTTGAAGTTGAAGCTCTAACAGAAGACGTTTCACTTAGAAAGTTTTTAAATATTAGCATAGTATTTGGGAAGTACTGGATCAGCATCGATAGCAAATGTTCTCGGACCTATTTACACAGGGGGAGGGTTGTATCTGTGGCAGGAATAGGGATGGCACTTTGACCTTGCATACCTCCTTACTAGTACGTGGTTGGTTTATTGGGAAACCCATGACCTCTCATACAGCCCCTTTCACCCTCATTTGCCACATTTCCCATATATAGGAGACATGAAATAATTCATGCAGCAAAAGCCCAGGGGTCTACAGTCTGGGGGAAAATGTTCCAGGTAGCTGCTAATCTGGAAGTTATTTTCTTTCCCTAAACCGCCAGGGTGGTCCATATCAGTGGTTTCCAGCTTTCTTATTTCATGAGCCAGTAAAATTATTTTTTTTAATTGGGTGGTAATGGGGGGAAACATGGGTTTGCCTCCTTTTCATTTTGTCAAGTCAGGGTATGAAATATAACTGCTTTCATCTCCTCTCTCTATTGTTTCACACACACACACAAGGCACATCTTGATACCAAAAACACTGGCAAATCACAATCTCCACATAGAGGACAGTCCTTTCGATTGAAAGCTTTACTGAAGAAAACTTTCTTCATTGTCCTTACTGTTCTCATTTCACAACAGAACGCTCAAAGATGCATCTTTGAAGAGCATGGAGCTCCAGACAGGTTCTGACCTGTGTGAACTCTCTCTCACGCTGCTAGAAGATAGCTCAGAGAAATGGTTCTGAGGTAACATCACCAGAAACATGTTGGAAGAAAGGAAAGGGACAGCCTCATTTTCCAGCATTGCCCAGATTCATCAGGACGCAAACCAGGACTGCATTGTCAACTCACAAGGTGATGTTTGAAAACAGCAGGAGACAGAAGCTAAGAGGTCTGTCTTCTCAGTTAATGTATCAGTGCTATTATGGAGAGATGCCCATTCTGTTAGGCTCTTTGTGGACTAGCACAAGTTGTGCATAGAGGCCAGCCAAGTACACAAGTGTGTTAAAAGGGTGAGGCCGAACCTGGCCCAAAGTATCACCTTTTGAAGTTACTCTTGGCTACAGTTTTCATTAATCCTCAGCCTGGGGGCAGAGAGAAAGAAAGGATTGATGGTTGATAATAATTATTACTGAATATCTACTATGTGCTCGCCGTATACTATGTACGTATGTACACTGAATACCTACTATGCTCCCCACAAAAAACTTTACCGCTACACCATGTTATTCAAGCCTAAGTTTATAAAATAGTCGTTCAACATTGCTCGTTTTTAGCGGGAGAAAACAAGACTAAGAGAGGTTAAATTCTTGGCCTCTGATTACACAGAAGTGGGAGAAGAATGCATTTGCCTGACCTGGGAGCCCACTCTGGCCTCTGCAGCAAGAACTAACCCTGGAGGATTTGTGCTTGGCTTGTGTGATTGTCTACCACGTGTGTGCATGGCCCGAAGTTGTAGATTTAATATGCTGATTATAGCACATTCCCTCATACGGCTTTTCTAAGTCTCAGTGAATCCTTTGTCATTTTTATAAATGTCTCCAGACATTGTTACGGTGAAATACAGGTGGGGGTGTGGCATCAAGAGGGCCAACCAGGGAAGCAATGTTCCTCACAGAACGGGCCACACTGGGTCAACCCCCAGACCCATCTGACTAGATCACTCTTGCTCTCAGGACTGGATGGCTGCTGATTTCAAGGGTTTTGAGAAAGCTTCCCCAGCCCTGCAGATGCTAGCCTCTGTCTGCCACGTCTACCAGATTGGATGCAAATTCCCAGCAATATGAATTACCTGCTTTTCTCTAGGGTTTTGCTCCATCCCTGGCCCCAAATATTTCATAGCAGCAGTGCCAAAAAGAAGCCCCGAGAGAGAGGGAAGCTTGCATATTAATTCCGGTGGCGATGTAATGAGAATTTCATTCACTTACTCTGAATTCCCTGGTGTCCCCCATTTTCCCCTTGGTTCATTAACTCTCCGTACCTTGCCCGGCTGCTGAATCTCAAGGGAATGGATGCACTCTCAGTTCCTCCAGCAGCTTGCCTGGTCCTTTCCTCCCCGCATGTCCCCCAGGCCCTCACACATACATCTGCACCTGCCCATAACAGAGGTCTTTATCCAGGCATGGAGTGTGCGTCCTCACTCTTCAGAAGACAGCCTCCTTCATGTGAGGGCTACTCCTGGGTTCTGCAATCCTATCAGGCTCTGCTGGGCTTCCCGTCTTTGACATTGGGGTGTGTGTGTGTGTGTGTGTGTGTGTGTGTGTGCATGTGCACGCACAGCCCCTGTTTCTCACCCCCACCCCAACACAACAGACGTACTCATTTATTTCAGAGAGAGACCTAACTCAGTTGTGGTCAAAATATGACAAAACGCTTTTCCGTAATCTGAGCCCACAGTTCCAGATGAAGATTTAGGAGTATGAAGACTTGTGCAGGGAGGGGGAGGGGGAGTTGTGGTTGGGGGAGAGAGTGTAAACTGGAATTTATAATCCACCCCGCACAGGTTAGAGCCAGGAGCTGACAGTTTCATTCTCAATTTAGGTGAAGAAGCAAACATGCTTTTACAGTAGAAAAAATCTCATTTAATCTTTGCTAACCACTTCTGCCAGAAGGAGCCTCTGAAGTACCTGAGCAGGGGTGTGTGTAGATGCATGCGCACACGTTAACTCGCCTCATAAAAGGAAATGTTCCTCCCTGTCCTGTAGATGTGCTCTGGCTGCTCTAAGTTGGCTGTAGTGATGAATACACTCTTCAGGCTTCGGAGGGGCAGGGCTGACTTCCTGGGTGTGTACACGGGCCATCACACGCGGGAGGACTCTGTGTTTGCCAGTGCTGTACTGTTGCTGTCTTAAAATCCTTAACAATTTATATATAACAAGGGATCTGCACTTCCGTTTAGCACTAGGACTCATAAATTTTGCAGCTGATCCTATTGAGAAGCAGATTGTAGATAGAACAATGGCTAAAAACACCACGTATAAATGAGTTGTGTGATCTTGGGTCAGTCACTTTGCCCCACTGAGCCTCAGCTGGGCTCAAATTTGGTGTTTCTCAACTCTGGATGTACCGTTGACTCACCAGAGGAGCTTTGGAGGGGTATCAATGTGCTAGAATCCATTTGGAAAGGGTACTGGCATCAGAATTGTTCTGAAGTTGCGTTTGAAGTTCTGCAGAGGATTCTGATGCAAAATTATTTCTGAAAATACAGCCTGGGTAATCTAAGCTCTGTTTTTGGTGATCATGTATTCATTTTCCTTGGTACCTGTTCAAATTCCTGTGATTATTGTATTCCATTCTGTAATACAGGCATGCTTGTTTTCATTTAAAGCTAACATTTTAAGTTTGTTATAATCTAGTAAAAGGACACTGCAGGAAGATGCATCATATTTAATTTGTGTATGACTCATGCCTTTGCCCCCTCAGATGTGTGTGCAACCCACTTTGACAGGCCCAGGCCTACACTGGTGATGGTCTTTAAGAACCCTTATTTTTTCAGTATTCTTTGGGCCTGTGGCCTGTCTCGCATAAATCTTTCCGTAGGTGGCTATGTTCACGTGAGAAAGGAATTCCTTAGATGTGTGTGTCCTGCCCTGCTAACATCACCAACCCTGTGCCTTCAAGGAAGTTCAATGTCTATTCTAAAGATCAAGGTCAAAACAGGGAGTGATGATTGGTGTAGGCCCAGGGAACGAATCTGAATTCTCAGCTATGCTCCAACAAGTTAACAAAAGAGTTGCACACTTAGTCACATCAGGAAACATCAGAACTGCTGAATAGTTTATACCAGGTTAGATGTCTTAGAGCTACCCTGGGATTACTCTCAACAAAAACATGAGAAAGGGCAGTTTGCCTTCCATAATCCCTCGTTCTTTTCAGAATCCCTCAAAATGACCAGTATGTTCAAAATGTATTCTGCCAGCCTAATTAGGCCTGCCCACTGGGGGATCAGTATATTACATAACCCAAACCACCTTTATTCTGTCACATAGCCTCCCTTGGAATAGGATTTGATAAACAAATTCTCACTAAAGTGTCAACGACTGATAGAGTCTACTTAGTTCTTTCCAAGAGTAGTATATTGCAACAAGGCTGCATTTACTTAATCCAAAAGAATGTGGCTTTAAGGTAGAATTTTAGGCACGAATGGCAATCAAGGATGGGTATAGTTAGACCCAGAGCAGGCTTCCTGGACCTCCTCAAATAACACGTCTCCTCTGGCCTTTGGCCATATGTTTGTCATTTAAGCAACAAATAATGCTATCAGCAGGCAAGTCTTTGAACATATGAAAGTATGTATTAAAAAATCAACCAACCAAATAAATATAAAACCCAAGGATATCATTTGAATTCCTACCCAATTGCTCAAAGATAGAAAGATAAATTAAAGGTGCTTCTGTAAAACCTGGCAGATAAACAAGGAGTTTAACATTAATGCTATGAAAATGAGTAAAGAAGCAAAAGGTGAATTGCAGCTAAGGATCTAAGCATAAAAGGCAAATCTGTGGCATCCCCAAAAACACTTGGGGTCCAAGAAACCAGCAAAGGGCCTTGAAAGATTTAATAGAGAAACCAGCCAAGGTACCCTGAGGAGAGGAACTAGGTATTGAAATGAAGCCCACACTCCCCTCAGCAGACCCTGGGTCCCACTACACAGGTATGTTCACCCAAAAGGAGCTCCTTTTTCTAATATGTCCTAATTTTCACAAAGATTTCTCATAAGCCAGCTGCAACCCTGGACCCAAACCCACTTAATCTGTGGTCTGTCCACAGAAAATTTAAAAGCAAGAATAGCCAAAGGAAGCAGAATGTCACAAAAATTCAGACCTAGACCCAACAAGGAAGGCATTGGGGGAAAAAAAAAGAGCAAGCAAGCAAAGGAATTGAAATTGGTAAAAAGAAACACATTTATTGTGTCTCTGAAATGTGTCCATGGTACCAGGTCGACCCTTGCCTGGAATAGACGAACAAGAAGTAACACGACCTAGCTCTCCTTCCTGCCAGGACTGACCTATAATTTGGGAACGATATAAAAGCAATCTGAGTGCAGGGATAAAGAGGGGGTACCTCTTGCAATCCACAAGCCAAAGAAGTTGCCCTTTTTTATTTTGCTAATTTAATGTGAAAGTGAAATGGGTTCCTTTGCAACCTTGACAGCTAGCTTTCTGGGAACGTGTCTAATATTGGACATAAAATGGAGACATGAATCGATGAGGCTCATTAATATTCATAGACAGCAGATTAAGGTTGGTGGAAAAAATTATTTATGAAGCCCGGGTATTGTCTTCCTCTCACCAAAAGGATTTTGTTTGGAGAGGATTGAATTGGGTGACAGGGCTATGACAGATTAGGTATGAATTTGCAGATTTCTTGGTTTATCTCCCACGGAAAAGAATCTAAAGCATTTGCAAGCAAAGAATGTGCTGGGCTGAGAGCAGTCAGTGCTTCAGCATCACGCGCCAGTAGGTGTAATGAGGTTCAGACACCACGGGCGTGAGGGAAAGCACTTGGAAGGAAATGAAGGAATGGATTGAGAGTGTGGTTATGTAACAAAGGAACAGGCTGAAAGCAAAATGGGGCTGGGCTGATGTCAAGAAAGGTAGGGGGATAAAACATAGCTGGTTCCTTTTTTATTATGCATGTGGGGGATTGGAGGTAGCACAAAATTGAATAATATGTAATTTACAATCTTTTCTCACATTAAATATGTATTTGTTGTGCTGCATAAGAAGCCTTTGTGTTATTTCTGACCGTAGTTAGTATATGCTGTTTTATAATCTAATAAAGAGTGACAGTCAATGAGTTAGGAAGGTGTCTCAGATCCTCAAATAAACTCTGTTAACAGTACTCTATACTTACACAATTTGAGGATTTATTGCTAGTCCCTTATCTCCGTGAGCCCTTTCCTCCTTTATCTTTCTGATCCTTTACAGGCTTGTGGAAATAAGCTGTAGACATCTGCTGAAATTTTAAAGTGACAGGTGAAATTTCTTTTTTCCAGAATTAAGCATTGAGAGTGGCAGAGTGAGAACCTTAGGATAAGACCTTGAATTGTTCCCTAGGGCGTACAACATGCCATGG